CTCAACAAATTCCAATTTTACCCCATTAACGTAATAAATTTCAATCTTTTTTGCTCCATTTTCTCACAAAACTTTTCCATTTTCATTAAATTAATCAAGAAAAGGAGCAACAGCGAAGGAGGTTTGCATGAGCCAAAAACTGTAGCTTCTCTCGAATAACTCTCATTAACACTTCCAATTCCACCCGTACAAAAAAAAAGACGAAGCTCAGCAAGAAAAATGTGAAAAGCAAACAAATAATTTAGTTACGTGGGAAAGTTTACTTAATAGCAGAGAATAATCACGCAATACTCATTTGAAGTTGTTCCTTTATTGAGCTTTGTTGCATGTAAGAGAGTGCCAAGGTTTTTATTCTGTTGTAAAGTTGAAGTTTTGATAAGAAAATTGGCATTTTAAACTTAATTTTCAAGGTTATTAGCATTTTTAAAAAAGAAACTATTTTTAAGCTATAAGTGTTGTTTGTCGGACTGTCCGAATTTTCGATTGTCCGATTTTTAAGTTGTCCGACTTTTTCGTTTTTTGACCATAACCATTTTCGTCTTTTGATTTTTTCTTTGAATTTTTTAACAGAACAATAGCTTCTGAATTTGCAAGTAAAGCTATCCCCACCCCTTACATTACTCACCAGTTCATTTAACGTAATTGAGAAATAAATCTACGCAAAAAAAATTAAAAAACAAAAACTTTTTTACTGCAATGGCAAAAATCAAGAAGAAAAATGAGTAAAAAATAGAAAATTGCGGATGTTTTACAACAAAAACGTCTTCCTGAATGTGGATTATGTTTCTATAAGTGCCACTGCTGACCACAGAGAACAGAAAAAGAAGAAGAAAATTTCATAGACGAGCAATTTGTAATAAATCCACGTCGACAATTCTCTATGAAAATTACATAAAAATCCATTTGGCTGAAATCACAGAGACATGCAAGTCACGCACACTTTTTGGGCTTTTTTTCACATTTGCGTAATTTTTTGACTTACTTTTTGTGGGCCATGCTTTCTTGTTCATAGATTTTTTGGCTTGTATTTTGTATTTTCATAAAAAATTATTTTTGCTGATGTTTTTTAATGTTCCTTGATGCTTGAAGAATTGAATTTTAGCAATTCTGAACCACATTTTGGTATCCCTGATATGGTCAATCCAGAATTCCTTTTTAAGCCAGTTTAATGTACTTACCGTTGCAGCAAATCGAAATAAATATCCAACATTAATGAATGCAGTCGTCGTCTAATGTGATTTTGTATGGTTTAAGGATTTGTGGCATAATCTTAACTGTTTCTGATCTACGATTTGCTACTCTGGGTCGAAGTTTATCAAAAACAATCATACGTCGAATGATTAAGGCGCATTATCAATTCTAACCTATATCTAACCTATACCTAGCCTTTACTCAGCCTAACCTTACTTCTTTAGCCGTCTCCTTGTGGCTACAAAAATTCCCCAAAAAAATTGCATTCTTTTTTCAAAAATTTGACACATTCAAGCTCAAACCGAAAGGTCAGCAGAATAATATTTCTAATATTCATGACTACAATCCGTCCTACAAGTTCATTATATTGAAGTTACTGAATATTGCATACTTTTCCATTTATTCCATTCAGATTTTCGCATTCATGAAATCTTTTTTTTTTTGCTTTTTCAGTTCATTTTTTCTGCTTACTAAGCCACAAAGGGATGAGTATGAAATGAGAGATAAAATGAGTTGTATGTATGTATGTATGTATGTGGACCGAATTATAGCATTCGATTTTATTAATACGACTGGTTTACTACTAAATTAAACAAACTAAGTATATGGAGGGATTTTTTTTTTGGTAAAAGTTGTTTGGGTTTGCAGTATAAAAAAACATGAAATGTTTATGAATGGATTGAGAAAGAAGATTGGATTGATTTTGGCTTTGGTTTTTATTTGTAAAGTTCAGATGGATTTTTGTCAAATGCCAAAATTGAGCAAATCTGAGCAAAACTGAATAAAACTGAGCAAATTGAGCAAATCTGAGCAAAATTGAGTAAAACTGAGCAAAATTGAGCGAAATAAAGCAAAACTGAGCAAAAATGAGCAAAACTGAGCAAAACTGAGCAGAACTGAACAAAATTGAGCAAATCTGAGCAAAACTGAATAAAACTGAGCAAAATTGAGCAAAATTGAGTAAAACTGAGTAAAACTGAGTAAAACTGAGCAAAATTGAGCAAATCTGAGCAAAATTGAGTAAAACTGAGCAAAATTGAGCGAAATAAAGCAAAACTGAGCAAAAATGAGCAAAACTGAGCAAAACTGAGCAGAAATGAACAAAGTTGAGCAAATCTGAGCAAAACTGAATAAAACTGAGCAAAATTGAGCAAAATTGAGTAAAACTGAGTAAAACTGAACAAAAATGAGCAAAACTGAGCAAAACTGAGCAGAACTGAACAAAATTGAGCAAATCTGAGCAAAATGAGTAAAACTGAGCAAAATTGAGCAAGATAAAGCAAAACTAAGCTAATCTAAACCAGACTTGCCCTAAAATAAACAAAATGATCCCAGAAAATTTGGAAATTTAAAGAGAACCAAAAGGAAGATCTTCCAACCAAACCAAAACCGCAAAGTCCATCAAAATTAAATTATGAAAATTTATTATATAAAATCATTTTTACAGAGAGTTTTATGAATATTCAAATAATATGTTCGCTTGGGTTCGTCATAAATGTTTTCACAGAACAAAAATATATTTTATGCATGCTTATAAATTTGAATATGTCGTCCGAGCTTGCAGGAAATTTTTGATGACCAAATTAAATTTGAATTTTTGTTGAGGTTAAAAATAATTTTTATCAATAAAAATTGTAGAATTTTGGAAGGAATTGCGGATATTTAAGTAGTTTGATGACCAGAAATTGCAGGGAAGGCAAAGCAGACCTCATCCACATCGAAAACACTGAATACCTTTATTAGCAAGCCTTTAGAAGCTACTCCAATCCCTTTTATTCCAAAATTCTCAAACATAACCTTAAAAATCCAATAATCCCAAATGAAATATCTTCTAAAATATTTCTATACAATAATCCTCTCAAGTAATTCCCTCAATAGCTCCATAGAAATTCAAAATACATCAATTAACACAAAAGCCTTATTGAAGGACTCAGTTTGTAAAATTGTATGTAAATTTGTATAAATGCAGCAGTTATTATTGCTATAGAACATGCGATTTTATGTCTGATAGTTATCGACACATACGAGAATAGTTTTAAAATTGAATGATTGCGTTAATTGCTCATATACATGAATAACGATGAGTTTTTGAGGAATTTATGATGCAATTTTAAAATGATTGGCTCTTTTGGGGTTATGATAGGATGTTTTTGGGAAAAATAAAAGTTAAGGAACTGATCAAATTTATCGAAATTCAGTTCATCAATTTTGTTTTCTTGTATGAATAAAGGTAAATGAACCTGACAGCGAGGTCCTTTACAATGGGGATGGTTTCACTTGATTGCAATGTCTTCTAGGCTGTCCATCAGTTTTTTGCTGATTTTTGATCAAAAAGCGGGACGGTCCCGTTCAAAAATGCGAAGTTGGACAGCCTTTTCAGTAAGTTTCTGTTTACAAAAAGTCTCGACTCTACTAAAAGACGACCAAAAGCAAGGAAATACTTATTCAGTCCTAAGATTATCAAATGACTAAGATTTTGGAATGCATCAGTTGACTAAAATTGAGTCAACTACGAATAAGTCTATGTTAGACTCGAGTTGACTTTAAGAATAATCCAGTTATGGTCAACCCATGTTTGAAGCAGTTAAGTGCCTTGCTGGTCGAATAGGTAAGGCGCTTGGCTCAAATTTGGGATAGTAACTCGAAGGTCGTCGGTTCGAATCCAGTCATTTCCAAATTTGTTCTTTTTCGGAAGTTTAGATACTTCGACTGCATAATGTAGGAGATCAAGCCATAATTGGGCATTTGGGCAACGTTGGATTAAGGAACCGGTCAGGAACTTGAAGTGTAGTGGGAGAAATAGGAACGAGAGCTACAAGATTATCCACGAATGGAATATTGATAGAACGGACCTGAAAAGTATCACGTCACGCCTACAGAAGATCGAAACGAGAGCCTTAGTTTATTTGAAACCTAGATTTGAAGATTAGCAGTTTGATCCTACATAATATTAATTCATACAAAAGTGTAAAATGTGAATTATTACCGGACAGTATGTCGTCAATAAATGCAATAAAGTGCAATTAAAATGAAAAAAATGTGCCGCGTGAAATGTCGACATATTAACCACACAAAATGTATATTAACTTTTTACCGTGTGCGGTTTCGTTCATGGATTGACCACCGTGTGTTATGAAACTGGATCAATCCATTCAAAATCGACTTCGTTCTTTAAGCTTTACCAAGCACCTGTCTAATTGCCAAAGAAATCCTAAAAAACATTAGCAAACCTTCAACAATCTTTATTTCATAGTCGCATGACAACTAATCCCATTCAGCATCTCACTAATGTTTATCAGATTATTTTAAAAATAAATATTTTTAAATCCAATTTGATGAAAGTTTTAATGAAGTTTGCAGTCATTAGCTGAGCATCGAGGAAAGGGCTGAGTTGTTAAATTTGTTGTTACTGATACAATGTTGCGATAACCAACTTTTCCATAGAAGTCATTTGAGATATTTTTAGAAAATTGTACAGAATGGATTATTACATCAAGGATACATTTTAATATCAGAGATTTCTATAATGACTTTTTGCTAACTTAGTTTTGTGTAATTTGTTTTGTGGAAGGTGTGAATTGGCTGTTATGGTAGTTTGGACTTTTTTGGCTAAGGTCTAGATTGTTGGGGTACCCTTCTGAAGCTACAGTTAAAATACAATAAGTAGCACACTAGGTAGCTATACAAACCAGCCTAATGACCAAAAATTGGTGACTACACTTACTCAAAGCTCTCAATTTCCTTTCAAACGCACAACAATTCAAATAAAATGCTGATTAACTCAATTTTAATTCTTTTTCTCATTCCAGAGCATTTTAATCATTCTTCAACCATTTTAACGAATCAGAATCTCATCTAACATCAATCGTACACCGGAACTAACCACATTACACCCCCATCCCAACCACCCCCTCACCACATACATCACCCAAGTGATTATAAAATCGCACCATCGTGCCACCATACGAGGTAGCATCGTCACGTTTCAAATCTCTGCCGATGGCGTCAGTGGCGGCAGCATGGTTACCTTTCGCTCGTGCGGCCGCAGTAGGATGGGTACCAATCGCTGCAAATCCACTACCACCTCCACCAGTGGTCAAAAAGGATCGTCGAAAGGCGGAAGATGAGAAAATGCTCATTAATGTGTCAGGTCGGCGTTTTGAAACGTGGCGCACGACATTGGAAAAATATCCAGACACATTGCTCGGCTCAACGGAACGAGAATTTTTCTACGACGAAGACTTGTGTGAATATTTTTTTGATCGTGATCCGGAAATCTTTCGACACATACTTAATTATTATCATACTGGTAAATTGCATTATCCGCGTCACGAATGTCTTTTGTCATATGATGAAGAGTTATCATTCTTTGGCATCTTACCCGATGTCATTGGTGACTGCTGTTATGAGGATTATAGGGATCGTAAGCGTGAGAATCAGGAGAGATTAATGGATGATAAGTTGAGTGAGAATGGTGAAGCTAAAGGTCCACCATTGACAAATAAGAGAGAGAAAATGTGGAGAGCGTTTGAGAATCCACACACATCAACATCTGCACTCGTTTTTTATTATGTTACTGGATTCTTTATTGCCGTTTCCGTTATGGCTAATGTTATTGAGACAGGTGAGTTTAATTTGATTTATTATTCAGTGCATGGAGGTTAGAAAAGCTTGGAAAAGTACCAAATTTGAAGGACAATTCAACTAATGCCAAACCATTCTTATCTCATTTTCAGTTCCATGCGGTCACAGGCCCGGCAGAGCGGGTACAATCTCATGCGGTGAACGATACAAAGTGGTTTTCTTTTGCCTCGATACGGCTTGCGTAATGATTTTCACAGCTGAATATCTTTTACGATTATTCGCTGCACCCGACAGATGGAGATTTGTAAGATCCGTTATGTCTGTTATTGATGTTGTTGTAAGTATCCGAGAAATATGAAAAGTTTATTTTTGAAGCTTAATATTTATGATTTATGAGGGTTATATGATAAATTGTGTGGAGGGTGGATGGAGATGATTAGGAAGGGATGGAAGCTTAGCATTAGAGAATTTAATAATTTTTAGATTAATATATATGAGCTGTGAATAAATCATTTTTCAAGAATATTTTTGAAAATTTAACAATTTTTCCATTCCAGGCCATCATGCCATACTACATAGGCTTATTCATGACAGATAATGACGACGTATCCGGAGCATTTGTGACTCTTCGAGTGTTTCGAGTGTTTAGAATTTTTAAATTTTCACGTCACTCGCAAGGTCTCCGAATTCTCGGCTATACACTCAAATCTTGTGCATCAGAGCTCGGTTTTCTCGTCTTTTCACTTGCCATGGCCATTATCATCTTTGCCACAGTCATGTTTTATGCAGAAAAGAATGTCGATGGAACCAATTTTACATCAATTCCTGCAGCATTTTGGTATACAATTGTAACAATGACAACATTGGGTTACGGTGACATGGTGCCTGAAACGATAGCTGGAAAAATTGTTGGTGGTGTTTGTTCACTGTCTGGAGTGTTGGTCATCGCACTTCCCGTACCCGTCATTGTTTCTAACTTTTCACGTATTTATCATCAAAATCAACGAGCTGATAAGCGAAAAGCACAGCGGAAGGCTCGATTGGCAAGAATTCGTGTGGCTAAAGCAAGCTCGTCAGCTGCATTTGCATGCAAGAAACGATTGGCTGAGACAAGACTGCTTAAACATCAACAAGGACTTGATTCGGAGGACCTTAGTGATGAGGATATTTTCGAGATGCAGCATCATCACTTGCTGAAGTGTCTTGAGAAGGCTACGGTGAGATTTTGAAGTTAATTTAGTCCAATTTTGGTTAAAAATGTTAAATAATTTAATAGGATCGTGAGTTCACCGACTTAGACACTTTCAACGGTGCAACGAAACGTCCAGGCTCTCCATCACCTCTCACAAGTCCAATACATGCACGAATTAGCAAGCTTGGCTTTCTACAAACATGTTGCGGTCGATGTTGTAACGGAAAACGCTACAAGGTAAATGTCGCCAAATGAACTTATGAAATCAAAGAATTTTAAGTTAACATGACAGATTTATAATGATTATTATGAATAATATTTATATAAAAAAAAAAATGCTTTTTCGGTTTTTGCGTTTTAATGAAAAATTCATTTTGGTTGAAAGATTTTTTTTTGCTTTTGAAAATTTTAAACATAATTTTAAATGCAAATTTTATTGAGTTTTAGTTCAAAATTCAAGTTTTTAAAATTCTTAATATTTTTTTGTTTTTAAATTTTAAACTTTAATATTGATTGAAACTTGTTTAAGTTATGAATCTATTAAAATTCTTATTTTTTTAAAAATAATTTGAATAAATATCCTAGAAAATTTTAATGGTATAGCTAATTTCGAGCTAATATTGTGCTGAATATCAGTCAAAGTCAAAGTTGAAAGAGCTTGATTCGAACTCAAGATTCCACTCACTTATTTTAGCCATGTTCCTTTATCGAATTAGGTTACAAGAAAATGCTGGATGAACTCGAGCCCTTTGAGTTATCTCCCAATAACGGATATGACATTCTTGAACAACTAATTCATGGAATGCCAAAGAAAGCTTTGAAATTTGTGACTAAGAAGCTGCTTATTCAATACTTACCCGAACGCACAAGTCTGTTAATCGAATAGAAATCCGATACAAATCCAATGTGACTCTTGCGTCCAATGTGGTCTTGGATTTAAATCGAATCCATCATCATTCTTGAGTCAAGCTAGCAAGCTCGATTAACAGACTTGTCTTATTCAGGCTACTTTTGCTATACCATTGAAAAGTACAGTTTTTTTAATTTAATTACCAAAATAACTATAAACTTAAACCAAATTTAAAATATCAATCCTTTAAAATACCTAAATCATGCACGTTTCATTCATTATTGATTTTTACTAGATTTTTGTTTTAAAAATTAGATTCGATTTTTTAATGAGTTTGACAGTTTTTTAATTCAACTATTTTTCAAAACTAGTATTTTGCTCAATTTTGTGTAGTTTAATGATTGATGAGATTGAAATTTTGACAACTCGAAAACAGTGTTGGGTGATCTTTAAAGCACACTGTAGCTTTAGAAGATTTTTTGTTAACATTAGGAGCCGACTTTAAGATATATTCTAGCTATTCTATTGATTACAGCTTTTGTATGATTAAATGAATTAGTTCTATGAATCATCATGGAAAAACTTAATATCTAGTAAACAAGAGTCGGTAAAGCAGACTTTGATTAAAATTTCAATCTCGACTTTAAATCTAAATTTAATCTTTTTTTGACTAGGTTTGAGATTATTTTAATCTTTTCAATCCTAAATAGCTAATTTTTCTCATTCTTTTTAAAACAAAGTCAACGTTTTCTTTATCTAAACTCAAATTTTAACTTACAAATTAATTTTTTTTGCTTTTTGTATTTAAAGTTTTTGTCATTTTATTTAAATTGACATCCTTAACATTTCTCATATATTCAACACCTATTTATTCACACTCACGTCTTTATTTCCAAAAGAAAACTTTTTCTATTCTCTTATTTTATTTACAGGAAAAAGACACAATTCCACAATTTAATCAAAATTCATGCCAAACAGCAAAATAGAAAATGTTGAAAATTTTCCTTAGAAAGACCTTATTTTTTGATGAAATAAAATAAAAATTCTACCTCAAAAATGATCACAAAAAAAATACACACACGATAAAGTTTTATTTACTTTTTTAAGTTTCTTTTTCTCACCTCAACAAATTTTGTTTTTTTTTGTTTTCTTTGAGTTGCAGAAAATTTTAAAGTTGTAAAAATTTGTCTGAATTTGATTTATTTTGGTGGAAAAAAATTTGTTTGTGTTGTGCATGGTCAAGTTTTTACTTAGATTTGAAATAAAAAAAAAATAAAAAGTAATCTGAAACTAGCAGAGGGGTAGCGTTAGAAACTAAGCAACTGAATATATGTCTTAGAACAGAAACTTAGAAATTGAGTGAATTTAATAAAACTAGTTAAATTGAGCTACAGAAACCCTATAGTGATCTAGACTTAGAGTAGAACAGTCTGATGTTATTAATCAAAAATCAATCATTAAATGTTAAGTAGTTTTTCAAAAATGACAATCGAGCTTCTTTAAATTATACTCAAAAGGCATCTATCTATTCCAGTGGTGTCAAACCTTTTTAGTGCCACGGCATACCTTAATAGAAAGCTATGATGAAACCACATATGGCGTACGATTCATGGAATTTTTTGAATTTTTTCGTGGAACTTGGGTTGGCCACCACTGATCTATTTTATTAGACATAGCTACTCAATTTGAGCTCATTAGCTTTACTAATGTTAAAATTATTCTTCCATTTTAACTTTTTATAAACTTATTATTTTAGTATTGAGTGTTGTAGTAAATGTAATCACTTCCATTAAAAAATAAAAAAAATATAATACATAAATTTAAATAATTAAAATTTCACTTTAAAAAATAATAATATTTTTAATTTCTATTCACAAATTTATAACATTTTTTTTTCTTTTTTTACCAATTTTTCTTATAAAATAAAATTGATACCAACCAAAAAACTCACCTTTTTGCTTTGCATTTGAAACTTTGGAAATGAAAATAATTTTTTTGATCCTATAAAAAAATACAGAAAAAGGTTTGCAATTTTAAATTCTGATATTTTGTTTTGTTAATTGAATGAATTTTTGTTGTTGAAATGAAGATTTTTTTTTGAAAATTGTTTTTTTCTGTATTTTCGGCGTTGTTTTTTTGGACAATTTTGAAGGAAATTGAAAGTATATAATTTACAAAATTTTTGAATTTAAATTTTCTTTATATTTGAATTATTACTTATCAAAGTTTTTGAATTTTATTTTTTAAAATATTTGGATTTTTGTTTCGCAATTTTTTTTTATTTTAAAGTTTTTTCAATTTTCTTCAATTTTTCCACATTAAATTTAATTCCTGATTATTTTATTGAATGCTGCAAATTGACTGTTAATAAAAATTTTCAAAACTATTTTTATCAAACTTTACTTTTTCTCCAAATCTTTAAAAAAGGCTTTCGAAAACTGCAAAAAATCAAAAGAAATTTCTGAATGAATTTGTTTAATTGTAAAAAAAATGTTAAATTTGTGTAGTCGTTGAAGCATGTAAATTGGAATTTTTAATGAAGATTCATTGTTTGTATTTTGTTGATGAAATTGAAAAAAACCCAAAAGGTAATAAATTTTAATGCGAATGAAAATAAAATTATTTAAAAACCATTTTGTTAAATATTTTGTGTACATTTTATGTAAAAAAAGCTTCAATTATAAGAATTTTAAATTTTATTATTTGTTAAATTTAAGTCCTTTTTAAGGATATTCAAAAAAAATGTTTGTAATTTTTATTCCTTTTTTTAAGTTTTTCGATTGATTTTTATTTCAGTCTTTTTAAAAAACGTTTTAAATTTTTTTTCTGCAATACTTTTATTTTAAATTTCTTTTTCAGCTTGAAAGTCAAACAAAAAATTATTTTTTAAGTGTTTTTTTTTTGAAATTTAATTTTGAATTTCTTCTTAATTTTTGTATCAATTGTGAAGAAAGTTTTGTGACATTTTATGCCTTTCATGCTGCTCTGTTAATATTTTTAAACCTTACTATTGCTTTTTGACGGAATGTGTATTTGGAATGTGGTTTGTAAAAAAATTATTTTTATATTAATTTTTGTTGATATTTTTGATGTCGTTTGTGAGGATTGAAAATGCTTTAACATTTTTTTAAAATACCAAATTCAATGTTTAACTTGAACATATTTTTTCTATCCTCAATTTTTATCTTGGACATAATCCTTGTAGATTTTGTTAAAATACTCAATTTTTTTTTAATTTTACAAATATATTTTTTGAACAATATATCATATTTTGACACATAAATATATTAAATTTAACTATTAAAATTAATATTTTTTTTAAAAAATATTGAAACTCTTTGAAATTTCAAATAATAATTATTAACCAATTAGTGTATTACATTTGAATTATTTCACATTTTTTTAAAAATTTCGCTTTTTGAATTCTCCCCAAATTAAACATTATTAAGTGTTGAAGCTTAAATGTTTGCTGTTATTCGAATAAAGTTGAAAAAAAATATTCGTTGTTTCGATGTCGACTGTTTAAATATTTTAAATTTTATATTTTATTAAACTGTTCCTAATAATTTTCTTTTTTTTTCTCTTGTTTCTTCCTGTTCTTGTTTTGTTCCTGTCAACCAACAAAATCACACTAAATGGCGTCAAAACTATACGACAATGTTGCATGAATATAAATTAAAATATTTTACAATTAATTTTTAACAAAATTTTAAATTTCCAAAAACTTCAAAAAATCAAAAAATTTACAAAAATTTGCCAAACTTCAAAAATATTGTCACAAAACTCTACAAAATTCAAAACTCACCAATGTCAACATCAGGGCTACGGAAAGTACGTACCAGCCAGGACGAGCAGTCGAGTCGTGATTCACAATAATAGAAATACTGATAGCAACGAGAACAGCAACCAGAATGAGGAAAGCATGGACTATTTGGTTGAAGAAACTTTTTAAAAAGGTTTGGAATTTGAAATTAGGAAATGTTTTAGAAAATAAGATAAAAAAATCTAATTTTGATTTGAAATTGTTGAAAAAAAGTTAACTTTAGAAATTTTGAACAATTCCTAGAAGTCAGAAAATGCTAAAAAGTGTACATTTTAAATATTTATTAAACAACGACTTAGAAATGGTTCAAAAAAATATGAAAGGAATTTAAATAAACGGATTTTTGAAGACAAATTCATGCTTGATTACGTGACTTTTCTGTCCAGTAAAGTATTAGAATAACCAAAGGGTGTATTCTGTCGGTGAGTGCATATTTTTTAAGGGAAAACTTATAATTTTCGACTTTTATTTTATATCCTTGAAAAAAGTTCTTCGAGCAAATATCAATCTATGCCCCTAATCTCATCAAAACCACATGACTACACTGTATTAGGCTTAAAGCTA